AGGTGACAAAGTTAGAGAAAACGAAACCTCTGCTGAAATAGATCCCTTCTCCTTCAGACCCGGGCTACAAACCATTGGTAGTCAAGATGATGTCCTACACGTGCTCCGATCATCACGTGTACCTGATGGTCCTTCACCATCAGGACATATTCACCAGTACAAAGTGACTGGAGCCCACATAAACTTCTGCCAGCATCAGTGCTGCCTCTCCTCCAAAACCTTCTCAACTTGTAAGAAAAAGATAAAACAGAGACTGATTACTGCTCAGCGATGAGTAATGTTCTGCCAACCTGGCAATCTCGAACAAGGGAGAGTCTGAAATAAAACTCCATCACTCAAAAAAGCTATACGGCCACCTTGCAGTCTGAGAATGACCTGCCAAGTAACAGCAGAAAAACACTCCTTAAGCTCTCTTGCAAGAACAAGTTGAAATCATTTCATTATACCATAACAAGCGCTCAATCTCCCAGCAGTATTCCTATGCCAAAACTTCTCAGATTTACGTTACACCTCCTCTCACACTAAAATTCTTCATAACGGATGTTTTTACACTAGGCTCTGATTTTTAATTTTTTTTCTGATTTCCTAGGGAAAAAAAAAAAAAAAATTACGTACGTCTCAAAAATGTCCTGTCATCCTCTTTGGTGCAGAAAATCATTTAGTTTTCACCTGCTACCGACAGGCGTGCTCTGTGGCCCCAGCTAAGATCCTGCTATAGGGCTTCTTCCAGCAGTTTCCCATAGCAAATCAAATCAAGAGCAACTTGTCTCATAGAACCGGCACGCTAACGAAGATTACAGTGTTCCTTCTATTTCTTCAATAAACATACCACACTGCTAAGGCAGTTTTCTTGACAAATCTCACACTTCGAAAGACAGTAGAAAATGGGGTTGAAAGGACCTCGTGAGCTCACCGTCTGCCTCTCCTACCCCAAAGGAGACGGTCAATGCTTAAACCCATCCAGAGCACGTACGAGTGCAAAGCACTTAATATGCCAGAGCCGATCGTTCTGTACCATTTTCCTTACAAATATATGGCTGGGCCATATATATTAATTAGAAATTCATTAGAAATGCATCCCCAAGGCAGACTGTGTTTTCCTGCACAGGCCATGAAAATAGTAGAAGTACCCAAATAACCGGCACTGTATCCCAAGGTAACTGGGGAAGGAAAACCAAGCAAAACAACAGAAAGCCATTTTTACAAAAAGTCTGACTATCGCGCAGTCGATTACGAGTAAATTACTGGTTTTAAAAAGCTTTTCCTAGAAAACATGAAAATTATGTGTTAGGATTGCCAAAACACTGTACAAGAGTCAGCAAATGTTTTATTTAGTATTTAAGGGACTGCAGAGACAACCCATCAGCAAGTGAACTGCAAATGCTATCTTTATTACGAGCGTATCGATAGTACCAGCACTGTGGCGTTTCCTGCCTTGATTTAGGATTTAATGCAAGACTTCTGGGACCGTGCTAGGCTCAGGCACTGTCTCTACTTGTTACCATTCAGTCTTCATTTGCAAATGATAATTTTTGCTTTGAATGGCATGCCTGACTGCAGGGCAGAGTAAATCCAAACCTTTTAAACTCTAGCCAAAAATTTGCCATGAATTAGGAGACTGCAGCATATTTACAATACAAAATAAAATATCTCTACGAGCGCTCAGCAGTGGTGGTATGAATAAGCGCCGATTATTCTTTTTTTTTTTTTTTTTTTTTTCAGGGAAAATTTTAAACAACCGGCTTTTC